GGGGTAGGAGGTGGGGGAGGGTGGGTGATGGGTATTGAAGAGGGTACCTGTTGGGATGAGCACTGTGTGTTGCATGGAAACCAATTTGACAATAAATTTCATACTTTGGCTACTGTCAATAATGCTGCTATGAACATTGGGGTGCATGTGCCCCTTCAAAATAGCACATCTGTATCCCTTGAGTAAATACCTAGTAGTGCAATTGCTGGGTCATAGAGTAGTTCTATTTTTAATTTTTGGAAGAACTTGTTTCTCCAGAGTGGCTGCACCAGTTTGCATTCCCACCAGCAATGCAAAAGGGTTCCTCTTTTGAAACTGGACAACTTTCTGACACCATACACAAAAAAATAAACTCAAAATGGGTTAAAGACCTAAATATAAGACCTGAAACCATAAGACTACTAAAAGAAAACACAGGCAGTGGGGTACCTGGGTGGCTCAGTCAGTTGAGCATCTGACTTCAGCTCAGATCATGATCTCCCAGTTTGTGGGTTCAAGCCCTGCATCAGGCTCTCTGCTGTCAGCATGGAACCCACTTTAGATCCTCTATTCCCCTCTCTCCCTGCCCCTTCTCCACACATGCACTTCCTCGCTCGCTCTCTCTCTCTCTCTCTCTCAAAAACTTGCCTCACCAAGTTTTCTATATCTGTCTCCTCAAGCAAAGGAAACAAAAGCAAAACTAAAAAATTGGGACTACTTTAAACTTAAAAGCTTTTGCATAGCAAAATAAATATCACCAAAATGAAAAGGCAATCTACTGAACAGAAGATATTTCCAAATACTATATCTGATAAGGGGTTAATACCCAAAATAAAATATATATTTTATATACATAAAAATATATACAACTCAATGTCAAAAAAGCAAATAATCCAATCAAAAACAGGCCAAGGACCTGAATAGACATAGTTCCAAAGGAAACATAAAAATGACCAGAGATGCTCAACATGATTAATAATGGAGGAAGTGCAAATCAAAACCACAGTGAGTTATCACCTCAAACCAGTCAGTATGGCTAGTATCAAAAAGACAAGAAATAATAAGTTTTGGTGAGGATGTGGAAAAAAGGATGTGTAGTGCACTGCTGGTGGGAATATGTGTGGAGCCCCTGTGCAAAAAGGTATGGAGTTTCTCAAAATATTAAAAATAGAAAAATGCCATATGACCCTGTAATTCCACTTCTGTGTACTTACCCATAAAAATGAAAATATC